GCGTCTATATTTGCTGTGTGGGGTGTATTCATTCTACTTTTAGTGAGTCCCCTATCGTTCTCCACGTTTCGCGTGTTCGCGCTGTGCCCGATGAACCCTCTGCAGGGATCGCGCGCCTCGAAGCGCTCCCACTGTGGCGCCGTGCGAATTAGTAAAGCGCCCGATGAACCCTCTGCGAGGATTGCGCGTGCCACAGCGCCCTCGCTGTGACGCCGTGCGAATTTTAAAACTGCCCGATGAACCCTCTGCAGGGATCCTGCGCGCCCAAGCGCTCTCGCTGTGGCGCCGTGCAAATTCGTAAAGTGCCCAATGAACCCTCTGCGAGGATTGCGCGTGTCAAAGCGCCCTCGCTGCGACTCCGTGCGAATTTGGAAAGTGCCCGGTGAACCCTCTTCGCGGTGACCACGCGTGCCCAAGCGCTCTCGCTATAGCGCCGCGCGAACTCGAAAAGCACCCGACAAACTTTCTACGCAAACACAGCACTGGAACCACACGCGTAGTCTTTTGTAAGCAAATGCACTAGGCCTCACATTTGCAACTCGGGCCAATGCTCGGGGTATCGACGGGGTATCGACCGGGGTATCGTTCTGGACGTGTGTCGCGTGACGGAAATTTTCACAATTTTCCATAAGCTGTTAGAGCCAAGCAAACACACAATAGCCTTCTCTGCCTTGCGGTAATCATATATCAGTCTTGGCGGCTTGCTTGCTGGCAGCAACCTCAAGGTCGCAAGTCGCAACTTTCACCACAAGCGCAGTGCACAAGTTACACTTCGGCAGATCCAGCTCGAAGGTCCAGCACAAACCATGTTCAGGGGTATCGTTTTTTGTGAGTCCCCTATCGTTCTCCAAGGAAAATGCAAAAAACCAGTATTGAATGAAACGCCGTTGATAAAGTGGTCTTTGATAATTCTGAGGTTGACTCAAGGCTGCTGTCGCCGCCATACCTTGAATCACCCCAAGTCACCACGCTGCCTTCTTCCAGGAGGGCAGCAAAAGCGCGACCGCTTGCTTGGATCTTCTGGACGCTGGTGAGCTGCTCTTGCACAAGGCTGCTGTCGCCCCCCAAGTCAGAGTTGCCCCATGTCACCACTTTGCCGCCACAAATGGCGGCAAAGGCTCCCCAGCTGCTGGCGATGTGCTGCACCTCTGAAAGCTCTTGCACCTGGCTGCTGTCACCACCGAATTTGGAATGGCCCCAAGTTACCAGTTTGCCATCCTCTCGGATAGCAGCGAATGCTCCACAGTTCGTGGCTTGACTCTGTTTCACACCCCTCAGCTGTGCTTGCACTCGACTGCTGTCGCCCCCAAACTTTGGGTGGCCCCAGGTCACCACAGCGTCATTGTCCAGGATGGCCGCAAAAGCGTTGCCAGTTGCCCGAATCTGCCGCACATACCTCAGCTGCCCTTGCACTTTGCTGCTATCGCCCCCGAAGTTCGGATTTCCCCAGGTCACCACCGCACCATCATCCCTAAGAGCAGCAAAAGCATGGCCGGTTGATTGAATGTCTTTGACCCCCCCTCAGCTGTTCATGAACACGGGTACTGTCACCACCGGATTTTGCATGTCCCCAAGTCGCCACTGTCCCATCCTCCAAAATTGCCGCGGAGGCGCCATCCGTTGCTCGCATCTGCTGAACACGAGCAAACCACGGCACGTGGCTGTCACAGTTATACAGCAGGTCAGATGGCAAGTAGCCCCAAGTCACCGCCGTTCCGCCATCCAGAACTGCAGTAAAACACGTTTCGGTGGCTTGAATCTGCCGGACTCGTGTCAGCTGCTCTTGCACCTGGCCACTATCCAAGTCAAGACGGCCCAAGTCATTGCACTCCCCCCTCTGACATAAAGAGCAAACGCCGTGGTGGTGGCAGCCATCTCCACAGGCTGCGCAATGGCGTGTACTACACTCCCATCTCCCACACCTGCCTGACCCAGGGTAAGACCCGGATCCAGGCGCAGGCCCCCAGGACCAACCAGCCTCAAGAGTCCGCGCCGGAAATACGCGCGCGCGGCAGCCGCCAGCTCCCCAATGCTGGACTCCGAGTGAAGCTGCACGGCGCAAGAGCGCCCGCTTGGCAAGACCACCTCCACCCTGCGGCTACTCCTGCTGCGGCTGCGGCTTGGGCTCATAAGCAAGACGGCAGGGACCGATGGGCTAGTTCAAGGGTAGTTTGTTGATTCGCAGGTTTCGACGGGTCAAGAAAGCGTTTGAGAAACTGGTGGGTACCCAACAAACTATGTTTGTAGCCTTTGTTGAAAATCAAGCGAGAAACTGCATGCCAAGGACTGAGAGCAGAAGCCAGTGCCTCTCTGCAGCTTGAGCCGAAAACGAAACATAGTGCTGACGGCAGATTGCCTGGCCCTCCTGCCAGAAAGCTTGGCGCACTCATTCGAGTCCTTGACTCTTATTCTGTGATTTAGAATGTTTCTACCAGGGACCCCTAAGAAAGGAAGGTTCCTTGCGGTGTCCGGCGCCAACACTGCCAGCGGCTTCTTTTCGCATGGGGCAACCGGACCCGGTCACCATAGACCTCTGGGATCTTAGCAGATGCGTCTGACCCCAGCAATGCCTGAAACAAAAACACAAAAGGCTCCTGAAAACCTTCTGATGGCCTCCGGGGCACTTGGCGTAGTTTGGTTGGAAATGGTTGGGGTGGAGATCCCGCCTCAATCACAGATTGACATGTGTATAGGCATGTGTATATGTTGCGTGTATAAATATATATGCATACCTCGTTGAGGGTGGCCCTTTGAGTAGTCATAAGGAGTACTACAGGAAAACCACCTCATTTGAGTGGCTTCCAAGACCTTGGGTTGCACCGTCCATACCCAATGGACTTCCAGACTTGGCTCAAGGTGAGCTGCATCTTTCCACTTCAATCCTCCCAATCGATTTTTGTTTGCCCCGTTACAAGTTTGATCAAAGCGGGAAGCGCCGATTTTGCTACCCTTACGCGACATGCTGGCGGTATCTACTCATCCTTTCCACTCCAAAGGCCATGCCCCTCACCATCTGCTGCACCCACAACTCACTCAGGCTTCCGAACTTCCCTCTGTTTCCCCAAAAGACGGACAAAGGGCCCGCTTCAACCCGCCGAACCGCCCCAACCGCCGCAACCCCAATCCAGGCGCCCGGCTCTTGAGGTGCCCTCGTAGCCAGCCTCGTGGAGAACGTAAGTGCCGCACCAAAGCCTCCGAGGCGCTTATGGCTCGACCCTGGTTTGCTTGAGGGTCACGATCTTCTTTTGCGTGTGTTCTTGTTTTTGCTTAAATGCATGCCTTTAAAAAGGGAAGAAAAACAAACACTGTAAAGCACGGCTCCGACAAAAAACATTTACAGGAAGCTCACTACAAAGCCGCGTTTCACAAATTGGGTATGCGTCAAAACAAAAACAGACTGTGTTGTTTTGCGGGTAACATGTGTTTTTTGCTTAGGCGGCCAGATGTTGTCATTCAGATGTATTGAGGCACGGGGCTGGACCGCACTGTACTCAGGGCTCCTGCTTGTATGTGGTCTTCGGAGTAAGGAAACAAAAAGAAACCAATTCGGGGTCCAAACCGCGAATTTGACACGGACCCACATCAGTATGTCTCAACATAGGTTAGCCTGTCGCACGAGTTCTCCTTATTCTCAGACACTTTTGGAGTGCCCGGGCATGCCCTTCCACCAGGCAAAAAGGAATGAAGCTGCTTTCCCTTGGGTGTCTTTTCCAGGCTGCACCCCAAAATGGGTTGGTTTTGATTGGTTTCCCTTTAATCACAACAAAAACAGGGGACGCCCTATTTTAACACATATATGCGTGTGAATTGACCCCTGACAAAGGATAGGCGGCGACAAGCAGAGGCAAAGCTTCCAAAGTCAAAATTAACCAGGCATGCCCCTCAGAACTGGACGTTTCAGCATGTGGACCCTGCCAAGACGGCAAACCGAAACCAGGGGACCTCTGCTGGTTCTTGGCAGAGAGTCACAAGGCCGGGTTCTTTGCTTCAAGGGAACGCAACAAAACCCCTTATACTGCGTATACTGTGGGGTTTAAACGAAAACCACACGCAACCCACTCATTTCGTGGCTCCACGCGGTCTTTTTGCAGGGACCGCGGGATTTCGCCCAAAAGGCGCGCGAAGCGCCTGCCCCAGCGATCCGTGGACATCGGCAGCGGCCGGGCGGATCGGCCGTCGGAATCCAGCAAGTCCACTCCGCGACAGCTGACCTTCACCAGGTTGCCCATACCTGAGATTCGACCACAGGGGTACTGTTTTAAAAAAAAAAAAAAAAAAAAAAAAAAAAAATCCGGTTTGTTTCCTGTTCTCAAAGGAAAAAGGCATCCAAGAAAAACTTGGGTGTTTTCGAAACGGCACCTCAATCAGGGAATTCATTTCCTGGTTGTCTTTGAGATCATCCCCGGACGGAAAGAGGTCCCCCAAGTTTGAGGACAAGGCGCGAATGGCCCAACTTGCTGGTTCGATAGATCTTTGTCCTCGGGGTGGAGTCAATCCTTTGGGATGGAAGCCACACGTGAAGTTGGATACCACACATAGGGCGCAGATTGGAATGACCTACTGAACCATCCTGGTGGCTTCCTTTCAGGCTCCATTGGTCGGACGGCTTAGCTATGTCTTTGGGGCAACCTTTGGACCCAGCAAGTGGCCAAATTAAGCAAGGCACCCGGCCCAAAAGTGTCCGATCCTGAGATACACAGCTGGGCTTGAGGCACACATTGAGGAGGGTTCAAGGGACACAGCTGTCTTTGGAATGACGCCGAACAGGCCCCATGAAGGAGACCGATTTGACCAGCTTCAACATTCTGAGGGCAGCCATGATCTGACTTCAATTAGGATTTCCTGAGAGCTGCTCAAGGTCGCTGCTATAAAGATCTAAGCCACATCTGCTTGGGCTCCGCCATAAACAATGTGTCATGATGGTGACATGCTTCCAGAACAAAACTGGCGGATGCCTAGCGTGACTCCTCCTTGAGCGTGCCATGGAGATGGAAATCCTTATCATGGTTGTCTAATCCAAACTGAGGAGGTTCATGACCATCCATACCAACCTCAAGTGACTGGGTCTTGTGACCATCACACATGTGGCTGGTGGGTGGGTGGGTTCCTGTATTTCCGCGTCTGTGTGTGTGTGGGTGTGTCCTTGCGTGCGTGCGGGCGCGCGCGTGGTTGCGTGTGAGCTGGGCTCTGGAAAATCTCCGCCGTCCATAGGCGACCTTTCGGAAAAATAGATGGGCTTCCCTGGTCAATGGCTTTCCCATCTATTTCTAACCGAACTAACCGATCAAAAGGACACCCATAGCTGAGTCCTTTTCCCTCTGATGGCAACCAAACATGACTTGGCTCTCAGAATGGAATGAAAAGATGAGTCTCGAACCATCCCTTACCAACAAAAGGGGGGCGCCCTCGTTCTCAAACCTGAGAAGCGGTCAAGTGCCTCCCTTCTGCCTGGCTGCTGTCACGCCAGTCCCCTGCCAGAAGGGACAAGGAGGGCGGCGCGGGCTTCCGAATCACCAGCTTGCAGAGGCCCGACCTGAGGGCTTCTTGTCTTTGGCAACCCTCGTTTGGCTGGTTGGCTCTAAAGGGAACCAAAACAGGACACCGCAGCGCAATTGATTTTTAGGGGGATTCCCCGAAACAAAAAGACACCCGAATGAACCGCGTTTCAGCTTCCCTCTTGGTTTGGAGGAAATCCGGGGCGATCCCCAAACCAATCCAGGCACCAAGGGGTGCAATGAAGCGTCACCCAAATCGCGCACCTCTGTTTTTGATGTGAAAGGGTGCCAACCCTGGCAACACTTGCTGTGTTGGAAAAACGGTTCATTTGCCGGCTCAACGAGTGCTCAAAACCCTTGTCTTTCGCCCATCTTGACGCATCGGCAAATATAAAAGTACGTCCAGAAACTGACACCAGGGATCCCTTATGACACAAGGGATCCCGAAAGGACCTCCACGGGTCTGTCTTTTTTGAGTTGCTACCCCTTTTGTTCTTGGATTTTTGTTAGGGAAACCAAGAGGTCAACCACCAAGTTGAGGCGGTCCTGGGAGGTCCCCTGAAGAAAAGCCACGGAGCTCCATGGTTCGCTTGCCGGGGCGCAAGTACTTGCCAGCCGGAGGCTCAACGCTGGGCCGCTTCACGCAGCTCACCTCGGGGTGAGTTGGACTGGAGCGCCGGACGAAGCTGGCTGATGATATTTGAAAGTCCTGAAACCATGTGCTGGCAATAGGCAATATGAGGCAATCTCCCAGTTCCGAGCTGTTTGCTTGTCTCAAAAAGCGCGCTTGTGGCAAAATTGTTGTTCCAGCCACGGCCAAGGATGAAACCAAAAGATAGCTCGACAGCTACAAGCTTGGTGTTGATCCAAACCGAGTGCGGGCCGAATCGAAATCTCTCAGAGGTCGTCGCCAGGAGCAAACTGCATTCGTGGCGTGGTTGCAAAACACATGGTGAGGTCGCAAAAGTCTTGCCCACTTGGACTTCGGATCGTGTGGTTCGCTCCCGAGCTGTCAGTACGTAAAAGCTGATGGATCCCACTGGAAAGTGATTGGGAGTGGAATCCATCTGTTTTCAACCAACCTGAGAACAAACACCTGTCACAGCAGGTTTATACTCCAAAACCCCCGGCTAGAAAGTTTAGCCCTGAAAGCAGCAAGGAAACCAAGCCAAAGACACCTATGGTTAAACCGAAAGGCTTCGCTCCGTCAGGGCTCCCTATTTTTGTCCTGGAATATGGGAACTCCTGGTGAGGTTTCCACAGGCCCTCCCGATCCAGCAAACCCCATTTGCTTTGAAGCTTACTTGAGTCCCTGCTTCTCCAGATATGGGGTGGAACCTAAATGGAAACCAGGACTAAAATCTATGTGTTTTTGTCTGGTGATTTGAATTTGACGCATACCCATATAGGACCCCCCCCCAAAAAAAAAGAAGAAAGGTCCGTTAACCAGGCCCAACGCGCGCCGCGCTCCGCGCCTGCCACTCCCTGCGCAGCTCCTGCTCGGTGTCCTCCTTCTACGCAATTGATGCTCTGTTTGGGTTCCCACTGCGAGACGTCCACATCAGAGAAGTAGTGGCTTGCAAGGCCGCGCATTGGTGTTTTTGTCCACGCGAATCCCGTTAGCTGCCAGTTACAGTTCCCTTTTGAGGTTTCTGCTTTAGGAGTTGTTTTCAAGAGGAGACTTGGAAGATGTTCGAGGTTTCCAACAAGTCTCCCTTTGGGTTTCAAAAAAAGCGAGTTGGGCGCAAAAAGCAGAACTGGCAGAACCTTGCATTTGTTTAAAGGTCTTTAGGTTTTGGTTCCGCTTATTTTTAGTAAGGGGCTGCAACAAGCCATACCAAGGGTTGTTAGCTACACCGCGTGATTTCCAGGCGCGACCAAACCGCACTAACAGGGTCGCCTGCTTTGGATTGCCACTTGCTGCTTTGGATTAACCTGCTTTGGACCTCCCCAAGACACCCCAACACTGGCGGAGTTTCCTTCTGGTCTTCCGCCAAAACCCAACCATCCAAAAAGGGCACCTTGCCTTCGCCTCAAAAAACATGTAAACCAAAACCTCCGAGCCTTCGCCTCAAAAGACAAAACAAAACAAAAGACGAGCCACCAAGCTATGAACCAACCCAACCCCCCCCCCCAAACGGCAGCGGGGGGTTCTGTCCTCCTCATCGCTGAGGAGCTCGATGAACTCCTTCACATCCTCACGGACGACGCTCCTCGCGATGGCCACGCAGCTTCCCGGCCGCCGGTTTGCGGGTGGCGTTGTTTGAGGCTACCCGGCTACCCCTTTTCAGGATGTGAAAATGAAACCAAAAGGAAAGAAATGAGACTTCCACCACTTTTTAGGAGGGTGTTCCAAGGAAACCGAAGCGAAACCTGCCCCTTTCGGGCAGAGAGAAACACGCTAGCCACTTGTTTGGCTTCGCGGAAGCCTGCTTTTCGCCGGCCCGCGGTTTTACCCCAAACTCGCACCTCCATTTTACCCCAAACCTGTGGCTTGTGGGTGGATGGGGCCAACACCCATCCCCATCTTTTGGGCTCAAACATTGCAGGGCAAGCCTCGAACGTTTTCTGCGAGCCTTCCGCCCGCCTTCCAGAGAGAAAAGGCCAAGGCCTTGGAGGTTCTCATCAACTTGAAGAGTTTTTTGCCTTTGCAAGAGTCGTCCGCCAAGCAGTCAGCTGGTCTTTGAAGGCGGCCGGAGGTCGCAGAATCTCAAGGACGAAAACCCAAAAAGAAATCAAGGGGGAAGGAAAACAGACGTGCATGATGGATCCCACTGCACATACGAACTTTGGAGCCATTGCAGGGTGTGTGCATCAACAGGTATCAGGAACCTTCTTTTGCCCCCAGCTGAGAGCTATGGACTTGGTTGATAGGCCCAGATAGGCAATAAGGGTTGGTTTGGGGCAGCTTTCAGGGAGTATATCACCTTGGTCCCTTTTTTTTTGGGGGGGGGGTCCAATTTGTCTCTCACGCCCAGCATATGCTGTTTCCCTAATGGATGCAGACAAACACGTGAGTGCCCCTGGTTTTGTGGAATACAATGCTCAGGTTCGGCTTCTTCTGTCATATTTCGTCCACCTTAAAATGGCTTTGCGGGAGACCCGAGGTGTCCCTGCCAAATGAACCATGGACAACATAGGTATCGCCGGGAGATCCTCTCCTGAGCCGCACCTCTGTCCATCCCTCCAAGAGATCCTCCTCCCATACCGGCACCGGGCCAGAGGGCAAACCGCTTATGGGCCGCCTGTACATTGAAAACTTTCCGGAAAAATCCCCGGCTTCTCGAGGCTCGGGCCAGGGAATTGGCGCCTTTGAAGCGCGCAGCTCGCTTGAGCCAAAGCCCTCGAGAAACGGACTTGATGAAACAAGCGAGCAAAGCGAGGTGTGCTCATGGGAAGATTGACCAGATTTGTCCAGCTCTCAAGCGGCAAAAGAGATCCACAAGCAGGGTCCGGGTACGCCCTTGTTTCCCGGTACGGAAGTTATCGCACTCCTGACGGACTTCAAAACCCTCAAACAAAAGAGGGCATAAACAAGGATCGTGAAAGAACCTCCCCTCATGGAACGCGCTAAAGAAAGTGTGCTTTGCTTAAAGGCAACATGGTTTTCCGGGACAATGTTCAGAGTCAGCGTGGATGGGATGGAACATACGGAATGGCATCCCGAAGGGGACTCGATGCGCCTCAGCGCCATCCGGTCCGCGCTTGGAAGCGAACTTGGCTGCCACGCGTGCTTCCACCTGTGCAATGCACTTGTCCCAAGTGTCTTTCTGTGGCTAACAACCATGGGTTCGTGGGCAAAGGGCCTTTCCAGGATGGTAGCCTTCCGAACCCATGGACTCCGATTTGGAAACCTCTTTGCCCTTTGCCATAGCGGCTTGGAAGGGGTTGGGGAAAAACGGCTACATTAACTTAATCCAGCAAGAACGCCTAAACTTCCGGCCGCCGCTGCGCGGGTGGCACTCCAGGTTGCAGAACACAACCACCGCCCAAAAAACGGAGCCGAAGAAGAGGAACAGAAGCTCCACATGGGCAATGAAGCAGCAGCACATTCTGCCAAACTCCTCTGGATCTTGCAAAATCTGTGGCTCGCTGGTAAGTTCCGGTCGCGCCTCTTTGAAGCTCCGGTCGCCACCTGCCCCCGAAACCCCGGGCGGAAGCGACTCCCTGTCCAAGTGGAGAATGTAAGTTTAATCTACGCAGGTCCTGACAATTGTTTGTAATAGTCGTGTCTCTTGTTTTGAGGGTGTTCAAGGGAAACCTTGGTGGTCCCCCAAAACAAGCAAAACACCCAAATGGAAAATGTCCCAACATATTGGTGTTGGCGGAGTTATCCCTTATCAGCCAAGCATTGCTTCTAACCCCTTAGACAAGGGCCCCAGGGCCGTCATGCAACACACTCAGAAAGGAAGAAACTCAGTCGACTGTGACATGGGCAAACTGCAATGCTCGTGCTATTGGAAAAAAGGATGAAATTCATGCCCAACTCCAAATCAAGTCCTTTTTGGACCACCAACCTCTACCTAGATTTTGACCGTGGCGAGGGATTGACACCCCGAATTCTGTTTGCAAGCAGCTCCCTTTGGGGTATCTTCCCACACATGGAAGTGCCAAGGCCCAAAAGGCTGGTCGCGCTTTTGGCCCGGACCGCCAGCGGCCATGAGAAGAAAGGGCCCCCTCTCAGGAATGAAAGGTGATCACTTTTTGGGGACGGAACAGACTATAAAGGTCAGAAGGTCGATTCGCCTCGGCCAAGTGCCCAAGAAAGGGTGAAGGTCCCGCCTAGCACCACGCGGCGGAAGCTCTCCTCGCCTGCCTGAATTCGGAACCGGGATGCCGTAAAGGATGTCTTTTTTCAGCAAAAGGGGTGGCTTCAAAAAGGAGACCCAGAGGAAGGCTTTGAGGGGAATCGTAGGTCATCCAAATGGTGGCTTGGCCAATTCAAAAACACCCGCTATGTGACATTTGCTGTCGTGTGTCGCGCGTATGGAGGGCGGAGCTTTCCCCTGCCAAACCCTGGTTTGGACACCGCGTGAACTTGCCGGCCGCTGATTGCCTGCGTTTCTTTGATCAGTCTCCCAAAAACTAAGGTTCCCAAATCCAACTCGTGCGGTCAAACAGAGCTCTTTCCAACAAAGAAAAAGAGATGCCTGTCCTGACTCAAAATGCTGTCTGTTGATGTCTGGTGGGTCGTTATTTTATGGTTTTCTGAGCAGGAGCAAATTCAAACGATCTCTCTTCTCCATAGTGCGTGGATGTCCACCCTCGTCAAAGCTACCAGGTTTTTTGACTCCATATGACTCTGCCAATGGCATTGGGGAACGGATATGAAGTTTGTTCAAAATGGGGGACCCCTGATCACCTTGGCCAAAAGGGGATCTGCCATTTTGAAACACCGCATCTTGCTGGTGATGCCGCCGGCACCGCTGCGCCCCGGCGAAGGAACCGATATATCCAGACAGGGCGGCCCCTTTCCTGTGGCAACACCTTCGAATTCTTTCGGCCCCAGAAACGCCAGCAAAAGCGCAAGGAGTCCCATGTCAAGGGGGTAGTAACCACGGTTAGCTATGAGCCAAGTGAGAGCTTATAAGCCAAGTAAGAGGGTTGCAAGCCAAGTATTGTGAGCCAAGTAGTGAAGCGCTCACATACCAATCCCCCAGGGCCAAAAATCCCCGCCTCGCACACCCGCACCGCAAGATCGGACGAAACGGCCGCTGCGCTCGCGGCCCCGGCCGGTGCAAGGGCGCCCTGAGAAGATGTGGGCGTCCCAAAACGGAAACTGACATTGCGCCCAGGTCCAAGGTGCGGCGACCCCAAACTCTGGCAGCCATGCCGACGCGAAGCCTCCGCGAGTGTTTAAATCCATGGTACGGTGCCTACGCAAGCCCACGCCACAACAAGCGCCTGCTCGGAGTGCCTACGCAGCCATTTCTAGGGCGCTGCGCTACTCTGAAGTTTGTGGAATGCCCTGCGGCTACCGAATATTGGGTGACAACAAAGAAAAAAACCTCTGCTCACATGCCCTGCTGGGAACTATTGTAGCAAAGTCGGGGTTCATCCATCCGCAAAAAAAAAGGCTTGTATACTACAATTCACAAACAAGAAGCAACGAATCTGTAAGGAAGGTTGACCGTCCAAATGAAAAAGCTCCTGATATGAATCCATGCATGGGGTTTGACAGTCTGGCATGAGGGAGCGTCGGATTCATAGAATTCCGCAAGCAACTGCATCGATGGCAGTATACGTACATGTATATTGGATATATGTGGCTGGCATGCCTATACAAATACAGGTACTTGAATTTGCATGCATTGGATGGACGCGGACGGACGGATGTGTGTGTGTGTGTGTGTTATTAAAATAGAAGTATGCTCTTTGTGCGTGTCCGCCGGTCGGTCTGTCTATCCTTCTGTGTATCTGTGCATACCTATGCGCCTGCGCATGTATACACAAGTATTACTACTATTGCTCAAGGCGTGAGAGGAAAACAAAGCACAAACTTGCACGGAAATCAGCTTTTCATAGTTCGCAGAAGAGGTGCGAAAGAAAGGCGACTGGCTTTGATCTGCTGGACTTGCATCAGCTGGTCTCGAACTTGATGGCTGTCTCCCCCACGCCCGGGATCGCCCCAAGTCACCACACATCCATCCTCCCGCAGGGCAGCAAAGGCTCCATCAGTGGCCTCGATCTGTTGGACATTTCTCAGCCGGTCTTGAACCAAGCTGCTATTACCACCAAACTTCTTATGGCCACCAGTCACCACGGTGCCATTGAAAAGAATTGCAGCGAAAGCGAATTCGGTTGAATGAACTTGCCGGACATGTGTCAGCTTCGACACAAGGCTGCTGTCTCCACCCTCTGGCTCTCCCCATGTCACCACCGAGCCATCTTCTCGTATTGCAGCAAAAAGCAAGTTGAGTTGCTTGGATCTGCTTTACGCTTGTCAACTGATCTTGCACCCGACTGCTATCGCCGCCACAGTCCCGATCGCCCCAAGTCACCACAGAGCCATCACGTCGAACGGCAGCAAAGGCAGCACAAGTCGCCTGGATCTGCTGGACCTGCGTCAGCTGTTCTTGAACCTGTCCGCTGGGCCCATCAAGCCGATCCCCCCAGGTCACCACTGTGCCAACGTATCTCGGTGCTGCGAAAGCATCTTGAGTTGCTTGGATCTGCTGAACTTGAACCTGCCTGCTGTCACCACCATCATGTCGATCCCCCCAAGTTACCACGGTACCATCATCCCGCAGAGCAGCAAAGGCACTGTCAGTAGACTGTATCTGCTGTACCCGCGTCAGCTGCGCTTGAACCTCGCTGCTGTCACCACCGCCATTTGGTTCTCCCCACGTCACGACAAGTCCATCCTCCCGAATGGCTGCAAAAGCGCTCTGAGTTGCTTTAATCTGCTGGACCCTTGTTAGCTGCTCTCGTACCTGGCTGTGCCCCCTTCCACGTAACACGCGAATGCGCATTCTGTGGCGGCCAGCGCGGCACCCTGCACCACGGCATCCACCGTGTCCCCCATCTCTCACACCTGCCTCCCGCAAGGTCGACTTGGGACAAGCTGCCGACCCCGCAGCACCAGCCGCAAGACTCCTCGCAGAAACTGCTTCTCAGCTGCCAGCTTGATCTCCCTGACCAGCGACTCTGGCGAGAGGGGGAAAAGGAATTTGATGAGTGAACCCTCATGTCGGGATGAGGTCGCCCTCATACGAGTATGAGGCTGGGCTCATATTTGATGAGGTTCTGGTCATTCATAATGATATGAGGAAGCTCTTTTGAGGTATGAGGGCGGGCTCATCGGGTTTCGATGACAAAATCCTCACAGGTGCGTGGTTTCTCATCTCCCCAATCACAGCAGTAAAGCTATAAAAGGCGACTCCGGTCTGGCTCGTTCTTTTTCACGTGGCTCGGGCGCATAGAGAAGCTGTCTCCTTATGGGACCACTTCTAATCCCATCTTCTCGCAAAGCTTCTTCACTATGCATCAAGTGCCCTCAGGTAGGTTTGGATCTATCTTGACATCTCCCCAGCTCCTCACCTCGCATCTTGCGACCTTCATTCTTGGTCCTTTCCCCTCTCAACAACCTCTTTCAGATGAAACTACCTCAGAATCGGCGCAGGGTACAGGGTGGTGGCTTTTCAATCGACCCTTGCCTCACAGAGCACCCCTCACCGCTTAGCAAGCGAATCTCCACGTGCACATTGCTTCGGCTTCGGCTACGACTGCGACTGCACCGGCCCATGGCGCACGGCCCAATGACCCGTCTGAGTGGCGAAAGTTCACGAGAGTGCTGAACATGGAGTGGGTGCTAGATGTGGGCCTGAACAAATTGACAAATACCCATCCCCTGTGGTTTACCTTGTACAATAATGGTTGTCACCTTGGTCTGTTCATGTTGTCCATTCGGATTCCTGCTAATTATAGGTCTGAGCTGGACATGGATTGCTGACTGTGAGGTTCGGTCAAATGTGTCTGGCAGTCTACGGTCAAAGTGACTCACTTTAGTTAGGACATAGGGGGCTAAATTTCCCGCGCAATTGCCGAGATCAGGCAAAAAGAATGAGCTCAAGCCTGCTGGGAAAAGAAACCCCCGGCGACAAGTCCCCTTAGAAATTGAATGGCCAACCCGGAATCCTTGTGAACCTTGGTGCATATGGCTCGGGGGGATCCGCTAATTCCTGCAGAAAAATGGGTGCGTGCATGAGGGCACCCTTTGGAAAAACCACCATTCTCAAGTTGTCCACTCTTTTGGAGACAAATCCAAATGAAGAGATATCCTCCATAGAGAGCGAGAGAGCGAGAGAGCGAGAGAGCGAGAGAGCACGAGAGAGCACGAGAGAGCGAGAGAGCAAGAGAGAGCGAGAGAGAGCGAGAGAGCAAGAGAGAGCGAGAGAGCAAGAGAGAGCGAGAGAGAGAGAGAGGAAGAACGGCCGCGCGTGCGCGCAAGCCAGAAATGGCTTTCTGTGCACATCAGCTACGCACGTGCACCTTGCATGACGTATGTGCCTCCACAAGCCTACTGGTTCAAGAAGACAAATCAGGCGTGCCAAGTCACTCCGAAGAGTTCACATCTTTGCATGCATAGGGATTTCGGGGATCGCCCCAAAAACACACATCACAAGTCCTAAGTCACGGGATTGCTTCGGCCGTCTCTAACTCCTCCACATCCCTGGCATTAAAAGCCTACCAACAACAAACACCACCTGCTTGCAATTGCACAGTCCCAAGATGCCGTGGCCGTGAGGTCTTATCCAGAAGGCCGCGGAGGAGTTGGGCCTGTAGCGCGCTGAGCAAGGCCGGGTTCGCCGCTAGCAGCTCCTGCGCCGTGGTGTCAACTGGGGGCATCGTGGCAGGTCATTAGCAACCTGTGGAAATACGGTAAGCAGCTCATATCCAACTGGGCTATAGCCAGGTGGGTACCCCTGCATTTCAGTAGGGATGTCCATGTCGTACCTTGTGAAGCCTCGATCCATGTGACAGCGGTGGTGGCCTAGTAGCGGTCTGGTCTGGTGGTCTATGGGAGGGGGTTGCGAATGAGTTTTCTGCTATACTTCTGGCTTCCACTGTAAACTGCCCGGAATCCAGGCCGCAAAGGCGCAGCCTAAGAAAGCATGAGGTGTGGTGAGCGGAAACTGTCCATTTGATACTTGGGTATGTCTCAACATGGGCTAGACCCTGTGCTGCATGGTTTCAAAGGGAAACCAGCAAGGAACACAACCGCAGGTGAGGATGTTGTACTTTTGGCTAAAAACCTGAGGTCTGCTACCATGGAAGATACCCCAACACACAAGAAATGTTCGTTCTCCGAGAAACGTGAGGTTTGGGGGGTTGGGACACCTCCCAGAACCTGACCAGTATCCTCACCACAAACATACAAGTGCACCGTCCTGTTCAATAGTGGGGCCTGTGCCCTGCCATGTTGGTGGGAGAGCATGTCCTTTTGTGTCCAGCTGGGACAGCTTGAGGAAACCAACAAGAAACCAATCCCCCGCTTTCACAGTGGAGAGAGTCCCAAACTTTGCCAGCGCGCCCATGTCAAAGGCAAGCGCTCAAGCGCTTGCCTCACGGGTCGGCCATGTCTATTTTCCTCTCCGCCTTCCGAGTGCCGAAACCTGGGAGGCTAACACGTAGCTCCCTGAGCCACGTCCAATCTGTCCGAATCGCCGGCCCGACCCAACGAATTGGGTGCTTCGCCATCGCTGGCTCTGCGTCTCAGGGGCCGAGTTTCCGAGCTGAAATCCGAATCGCTGGCCACGGATGAAATATCCGAGCGGATCTGCCAAGAAATGGCGTCCAAAGTAGGAGGTGAAGGGGTGATGGATCGCCCAAGAAGGCTCCTTCCCCAAGCCACAAAGTAAATGCTTCCTGAGGGCACAGATTTTCTTGGGCCGCAAGTTCACCCCGCCTTTGGACACCCCCACTCGTGCCATCACCGGCGCGCCGGAACGCGCGCCCGCTTGCCCCAGTGCTGGAGCAGCCGGGCGGCCCTTTGCCCCGCACCCTGGACAGGCGTCGCGTGCCACGAATTACATGAACTTACAAATGAAGGACCAAAAAAGAAAGGCTTTGTCCTGGGTGGCAACCCCGCAACCTTTCGTGGGGTCGCAATGTGGTTTGCCCAACTGCCACGAGTCATGGGAAAGTCACGCTAGAAGAGCACAGGGAAACACCGATCAGAATTCGGTGGGCCATATTCAAGAATTAGAACATCAACCTGGTGGATCAATTAAGGGATCCCCAAAAAGTCAAGGATTCTCTCTGAAAGGAGACGGCTCCCAGTCGTCAACCGCCCAGATTTCCATTGAAAGACTGGAAGATCCATTCCTCAATCTGGGCAGATCTGAGGCTCAGTCACCCCCTTTTAGGCATTTGGATGAGCTCCAGAGTCCCATCTGCTTTCGTTGAGCCTGGCAAACAAGTCCCCCAAGTGGGTTGTAGGGGAATTCACACTTAGGGACAAGATAGACCTCACACTTGGATGTTCGGCCAAGTTAGTAAGTGGGTAGCCACTTGGGATGACTCCGTTGGACCCACTTGAGGAGGCATATAAGTGGGTTGTAGCCTAGGTTACCAACAACTTAGTAACTCCGAACACCCAAGTACCAACTAAAGTGTTAATCCAAGACCCCAACCCAACCGCGCCTGCGGCGCGCGTGGCTTTTCGGCGGTCCGCAAGGGCGCTTTCCGGGCCTTCTCCCGCTGGAAGGTTCGCTCCAAAAGCGCCAGCTGAGAGGCGAGCCTTGCGCCAATCCAACGGGTGGCTCGTCTTTGGAGTTGCCCGGTGTTTGGTGGAGGCTAAAGGGAAACCCAAAGGGACAACCACCCAAATATGAATACCAGAGGATCCCCAATTCCCTTGAAACTGGCCGTCTACGTCTTGAAACCAAACTCAACCCCCCCCCCTGGTTCCCCCCACCCCTCCCGACTGACCGCCGATCGCGTGAGGCCTCTTTTGGCTTTGCCCGGCCGCTTGGAACACCTCGAGGTACACCTGGCGCACCTTGCCCCAGGCCTCCTGCGAACCGGACGGGGACGCCCCGAGAAGTTCAAAGGGAAGCTGTCCATTGTCCAACAAGCAAACGGCAACTCTTGCCTGGATGAACTCGACTGCTTCTGTTTTTGTGGCAGACTTGCAATGCCGAAACCTTGAGGATCTTGAGGCCTGCAAGTCCGGGCGGCTAAATGCTTCGCGTGCTTCTTTTTCCTGTGCAAGAGCTGGTTGTTCCTCAATGGCAATGGGTTGGTGAGGCCCCTGGGCGGCGTCCAATAGGGCTGGGGCTCTCCTTTGGTTTGTGTTGATCTTGCTGGCCCAAATCAGAAGCAGGCAACTCTCTGAATCTGCACGCCTGGATGCGAGGCAAGTGGCTCAAGAACCGCTGAAACCGGATCATCAATTGAGGGAGAGAACGAACCAGGCATGCGCAAAAAGTAGGGGGTGATCCCCAACCTGATTGTTTTTGTTGGCTCCAACCTCGGATCCAGGTGCCCGGAGCTGTCAAAAGGTCATGACCATCAGGGCAAGCCTGGTCCCCCTTCCCCCCAAGTGGGGGGGGTAAAGGGAAACAGCCCAGAAACTGTCAAATTCATGACCTTGGTATCCCTGGTCCAGGGTGGTCCAGGGTGGCATAGAATTTAGATGGCTCTCCCAGGTGGCTGACTCGGCCCATTTGAAGCGCAGACCTACCGTTCCCGGCTCGCTCGCTCGCTCGCTCGCTCGCGTCTCCGCCTCCAGCTGCTGGTCCTCCAGCCCCCGCCCCGACGAGCTGAAGCGGTTCCTTCGCTTGCCCAGCGGCCGGAAAGCCTCAAGGCCAGCCGGATGAGGCCATCGAGGGCAAGCGAGCCAACAGAACCAACCAGCTGCGCGCGTCTTTTTGCTAGGTTGAAACCCCCCAATATGAGGGTTTTTGGTTTTTACCTCTTGGTCGGTCTTGAGGTTGGAAGCACCAAATTGAGTTCGGCGTTCAACTTCTGGCTTCCCTTCAACCAAAACCAGATGGATCGGGTTTCCTTTTACCTTCCCTTGAAACTCAAAAAGGGCACACTCCAACAAAATACACACAAAGATTGGGTAAATAGGTCAAAAGAGAATCGCCCTTTTAAGCTAAACCACCATGTTCCTCATCCATTCAAGTCTCACAAAACTATGTCGACTGGGAAAAATTGTCCAAACTCTACATAGAAGCGGACAGTATGAGGCTTACCGAAAACAAAGGCAGTCTTCCGAGACGCTTCGATCCTTCCTCTGTCTTTGATTGCGGCTCAACTAAGCGCAAAAATAAAGGTCGTGTTTCACCGGGTGGGTGGGTTTGGGTCGCATTGCTCAACATGGGGGAGATCCCAAACAAACCTGTGAGGCGCCATCACTCCCCACCCCCAACTCCCAACATCCCGTCCGCCTCCAGGGCCTGGTACAGGGCCTCCCAGGCCTCCTGGCCCCGTCTGAGGCCCTCCAGGGACACCAGGAACTGGGGGCTCTGCAGGCGTCGCCCCAGCAGGAAGTGCACCGGAACCACCGCCTACGAGGACCCTTGGCCCCCAATTTTTGCTTGGGGTGGGAAGCCAAAAAAAACATGGGGAAAAAGAACTTGAACGAAATGTGGCCCTGCTGTTGGGAATGCATGTAGATCTCTTTTTTAAGCTACAAAATGTTTGGGGTGATTCCCTGACGTGCTGAAAAGCCAGAGTGAAAAGCCAGAGAGTTCGGGTGACCGTCCTCATCGCAGACCTCGAGAATGGGAATCCCCGAAATGGTCTTCGTTGCCATGGGCAAACCCAAAAAATGCGTTTCCGGTTTCATCCAGTTTCCTCTTGGTTTCCCCTTGCACCAACCCCATCGATTAATTTCTCCAAAGTTTCCTAAACCATGTTTGGTTCATCTTCTCAAAACAGGAGCCAATTCCAGGGTTGTCTCTTTTTGGATCCCCTCAATACCACAACACGCCCACCTGGCTATGATTTTCAATACATCCCCGCCTAAGGGCCTTCCAATTTCCAATGCTCGACCCAGCCGGGCCCCGTCGAAATGCTCACTTTAGCTAAATTCGGGAGATACTCATCACAGTTCCCCGAATAAACACTAAAATCCCCAAAGGGCACCCTCCCCTCGGAATAAGGACTAAAAATCCCCAAAATGAACCACCTCCAAACGGCACCTCCCCCAAATAAATAAATGTACAAAAAAAATGAATGAATGAATGAATGAATGAATGAATGAATGAATGAATGAATGAATGAATGAATGAATGAATGGAATGAATGAATGAATGGAATGGAATGGAAATGGAATGGAATGGAATGGAATGGAATGGAATGGAATGGAATGGAATGGAATGGAATGGAATGGAATGGAATGGAATGGAATGGAATGGAATGGAATGGAATGGAATGGAATGGAATGGAATGGAATGGAATGGAATGGAATGGAATGGAATGGAATGGAATGGAATGGAATGGAATGGAATGGAATGGAATGGAATGGAATGGAATGGAATGGAATGGAATGGAATGGAATGGAATGGAATGGAATGGAATGGAATGGAATGGAATGGAATGGAATGGAATGGAATGGAATGGAATGGAATGGAATGGAATGGAATGGAATGGAATGGAATGGAATGGAATGGAATGGAATGGAATGGAATGGAATGGAATGGAATGGAATGGAATGGAATGGAATGGAATGGAATGGAATGGAATGGAATGGAATGGAATGGAATGAATGGAATGGAATGGAATGGAATGGAATGGAATGGAATGGAATGGAATGGAATGGAATGGAATGGAATGGAATGGAATGGAATGGAATGGAATGGAATGGA